TCACATGTATCCTCCAACCTGGATGTCTTTATTTGCATGACAGATTCCACCTTCACCTAGAAGATATTGCACCACATGAACCAAGTGCCCACGTTATTTGCACCTCACACAATAGTGCTCAAACATGTTCTCCATGACTTCCTCTCTCCTCATGCCTGAGCCCATGAGATCTGCCACACCTCCCTGAGTTGTCTCCATTACTATGAACCAAAACCTTCATAAAAACAGACCTGACTTCCTTCGGTGTTGTTGTGTTTTTCAGTATTTCATTGGTTAAAAATGTAAATATCACGCGCCAGCAAGGATCTGAAAAGTCCTTGCAAAATTTTATCAGCCAATTTACTTATCAGGTGATTGTGATTACGTTTTTTTTATCCTCAAGGAAGAGGAGTTTATTGGGTGTGTTTTAGGAAGAACCAATACAATTGAAATTCAAAGCAGAATGGGAGGGAAAGACAGGCAAAAAATACTGGTTAATTAAATAATGCAAATACAAAAATGTTACCTTTAGTAATGATAACTTCAAAGGTTGAACTCTGGAAGTAGTTACTTTAATCTACTCATATGAAAAGTAAGTACCGTGTTGAAATTTAAAGATAAATGAAATGACAAAGATGTGCAGCCTGCATTTGTTAGGAGAGGTTCTTTTATCTTTACTTTCATCTATTTATAGCCTTTTCTTGGCCTTCAAAGAAGTTGAGTTGCTTTTTCTCTCCATGATCTCCTTCTTTATATTGGGGCTACTTTTTCCTTAATGCATGCTTAACCACTGGTAACTGCCATTTTGATAACTCCTCACTGTAAATATCTCATTTTTCATTGACTCTAAGCCTTTGGGCACTTGAAAGCTTCCCAATGATGAAATTGTGATTATTTCATCCTTAGAGATGCTTAAGGTTGTTACAAATTGTTGTATTACCCCTTTTTAAGTCAAAATCATCATTTTGCAAAAATGACTCTTTTACTCCTGAACCTAGTTTTAGCCAAAACTTAACTATTTGATCTTGAGGAAGAAAGGAAAGCCCAATTAAATCAAAATTGATGATATCATCCAAAATAAATAGCCATTGTTATCCAAAAACATCGATTGAAAGGTACTTGAGCTTACTGGGGTTGCAAGCAAGCCTAAAGGCATAGAACCCCGCACATGTGCATGCATGATGCCACTTGTCCTAGGGTGACATGTACACTCGTACCTACCATGTGTGGCCGCATGTCCTGCTGATAGCCCATAATCCGAATTGAAGCTAGACTTTTGATGCGATTTTTTAGGGAAGCACAAGGAGAAAGCGATGGCCAACCCTAACATGCTTCTTTGCTTGTTCCCCAAGTCCTCCTTACCTATAAAAACAAGTCCTATCCCCCACTGTAGACGCACCCCGAGGGCTTTGTGCTGTGCTACAGTTCGGACTCGAATGTCACGCTTCTTAATCTAATCTCACAATGTGCGATGTGAGATTGATAAATCACTAAAGAGTCCAAATCTGGCAAATCATTTTGGAAAATAGATTTTTGTAAAGAAGTGCCAAACATGGACTGCTTTTCCAGATATAGAGTCGCCACCTAAATATTTTATTTTGAGGAATTTAGGAAACCCTGACTCGTGCCTAAGGCCACGTATCCGTCATCACCAAAGTTGCCTCGGCTCGGGAACTTGGGTACGAGAGGGGAAGGTCATGCAATGAGCACCCCCGCTCGCCCGATCGAAGATCGGCCCTTACTAACATGATATCTTGTTTTTGAAAACACATGCGTTCTTATTCTGGTTATTAGCCTAGAGTTACTATGTGATGCGCACAACACACAAGTATAGACTAAATCGCCTAAGTTGGAACAAATCATCTCATGTTTGTTTGTTTGAAAATGGTTTGAAGGTGCTACTCGCAAGTAGGCTAAGACGTGAATTTTGCCACCCTCGAGTGGGCTTAGAAAACATGATTTTGCCACAATCAAGTGGTCTTAAAACTCGCATTTCAATGAATTGTTCCAATTCAAGTAATCTAAACTTCACCCACAGGCATTCAGGCAGTTATATCATATAAGCAGTTAGCCTTATGGCAAGCATGCTGTCATGTTAACACTCACACTCGTGCAAGATGCTAAAGCATAAAAGCTTACCTAGTACTCCGAGCCAAAACAATAGCTAGTTAGTAATCAATGCATGATCCTAGCTATGTTAAGATGCCTAATGCAACACATGCAAAATGCAACTAGAAATAGGCTCGGCTATCTAAGAATGGCATGTGAAATGCGACAACTCAATACACGTATTCAAGTTGGAATTGAAATACTATGCGGAGCCCGGTGCATGCAATACAGATGAATGATGCAAACATGCGAGCATAAGGATGCTAATTGAAACATGACCTAAAACTAACCATTGAAAGCAAGTAAGTAAAAGGAAGAAAGACGTGGGGTTAGAAGACATTCACACACTCACGCACACTTATTGCACAATTTGCCCTCTCGACGGAGGGTCCGAATAAATAATACAAATCGACTAATTAATTAACTACCCTAGCTAATTAATTATTACATAACTCTTAACTAATTTAAACAAATTAACTAAGCTATGAAACTAAAGAGGACGTCGCAGCTCCGCCTCGGAATGATTGAATGATGCATGCTTGATCGTCTCGCTCGGAAACCCGTTGCCATGCCACATGTTGCCTCTGTTTGCACTGTTCTGCACCTCTGAAAACTGCACAAGTCTCAAGGATGTTTCCAAACCACTCCTTGAGCACTGTGAGATATCACCGGCCAAAATATAGGAACACCGGCCATGTGGAATTGGTCATCGACCATTTGTGAGGATCTCGGCCAACAATTTTTAGTCGATCGGCACCGAAGATGACCGGCCGGCCATATCTTCCTGTAGAATGCTGTTTTACTGCAGCAGAGGACAAACAGAACATGGCAATGCATTTTCAAGGCAATGTGTGCACAAACACCCTCCCTATCATGTCATGAGCTCAAGGGAGTATAATGTTCGACCCTCGGGCCATCAATCACGCATGTCGATACATGATGGCCAAAGGAGCCAAGTGTGCAATTCAATATGGAATGAATGCACAAAAACACACGAATGCCTAGAACTCTATCATGTTGGATCAAGAGTGTCGGTGACCGAGGATTGAGGCACATTTCGTCACTTCAAGTACGAACGTCCCTCGGTCCTCATGTTTGGTTTGACATCCCAAACCAAACATAATGCAATGCAAGTATGCCAAATACAATGCAACATGGAAATGCAATGCAATGCAACATGAGCATGCCAAAGGCAATACAACGCAACCTAACATGTAGACAACATTGCATGCAACAAGTATGCAACAATACTATGCAACCTAAACATGCAAATGTACAATGTACGAAGCATGAAAAATGCAATGTACCAAGTATGCAATAACGACGAAATGGAACAAGCATGCAACAATATGCAAGGATCATGCAAGATGGACTTAAACTGAAATGGGCAGACCTCAGCCATGCCCAAATCAGTGGCCAAAATGCCAAGAAATGATGGAAATGAAGCATGAAAAAGGCATGGCAAACATGCATGCCAATTGGCCCAAGGACTAAAGCATAAAGATGCAACTCTTAAGCACAGCTAAAGAGTGACAAGCATAGATGTATGACAATACTACATGCTCTGAAATGATGTCAAGGATGATGCCAAATCACACATACAAGTCAAGCATAACATGCAAGAAAGCTCAAGGCTTAAGGCTAGCCAAGGAGCTTGTACTAAGGCCACATGAAACAAGCTCCAAAGAGCCAAGGACAACCAAAACAGTCCTAGATCATGCTAAATGGAGTCTAAAACATGCAAGGGCCAAAGCTAAAACAAGCCAAAATGAAAGGCCGAAGGCAAGATGCAAGTAAGGCCAACAAAGGGGATTACACTACACCCATTATAACCAAACATGGCATAACTTAACCAATGAAAAACAGAGATATGGCTTGTCAAAATAGGCCCAAAAACCCACTTAGATGGCATCCCGAAGACCTAATCACGGAGGCATGCACAATGACCCAACCTTAAGGCATAAGACACCCACTCTTCAAAGCTTTGAAAGGATGACAAATGCAAGTGTAAGGCTGCACTACATGGACTGAAATCACATATGAGATGATGACAAATCATGAAAAAGCGTCCAAGTAGTGCATCACTACAAAAAAAAAAAACACTTTTAGCGACCTATTTTTTGGTCACCAAAAGTGTAATTTTGGTTGCTGAAAGTGTCCGCGACATGAGCAAAATTGGTCGCTGAAGCCCTGTCACTAAATGCTTTGGCGACCAAATCAATTTTGGTTGTCTTTATAAATAAATTGGCGACCAAATGCTTTCGTCGCCAAAAGACTAAAATTTCGTCGCCATAAAGTAACATTTAGTCACTAAAAATAACCTTTAGCTGATGACATGTTAAGTTTTAGCGACATATAAATGCGTCGCTAAAAATATCTTTCAGTGACTAAAAGAATTGGTTGTTGAATGTTAAAAATTTTGGCAACCAATCAAGTTTTGGGTCGCTAAAAAAATTATGGACACATACTTTCAGCAACATAAATAAAATGTCACCAAAAGTAAACTTATAACTAAAAAACCTGTCACCAAAAATTCATTATTTATAATTTTTTTTAACAATTTCCCTGTTCAATACACCATTCATAAACCTATAAACATAAGCAAAATATAATTCAAACCAACACATTTGCGCAAAGCATCCAAAATATAAACTAAATTCAAAAGTAGTACCATATTAAATATAAACAACATATCAAATCCAAAACATCCAATTTAAGTACAAATCTCTTACAATCCTAAACTTCAAACATGTAATGCCCAAAGCCCTTCTAAGCTTGCAAATTCATAACAAAAACCTATGACAAAATATATCCAAAAATTCAAAATGTAATCCTTTGATGCGCCCCAAACTATAATTCATCCATTGCCAATCCAAAAAACCTTCCAAGCTTGCAGATTCATAACAAAAACCTATGACAAAATATATCCAAAAATTCAAAATATAATCCTTTGATGCTCCCCGAACTATATTCGATCCATTGCCAATCTGTCAAACATATGAAAAAAAAAATTATAATGTTAAAATGTTAATAATAAAGGTCTTGGTCTAAAAACATTGGTTTCACATTATAGATGAACAAATTGAGAGAAAATTTTCCTACGGTAAATTACAAAATTTCAGTATACCAAAATCAAAAAGTAACACATAATTCACCAGTTAAACTTGGCATAGATGAACTAATTACAAGCAATATCTCTATAAATTTGTAAACCAGTCACATGTTGTCCAACCAAAACCTAGCTCAATTTATGTCATTATGGAATACTGATGAAATCCAATTTCAAGGTTCCAAAACAAGAGCAAATATCAATTGAGTAGGAGCTATCACTGCAATAAGATGTAATCCAAAGTGCTAACTTTACTTTCATGACTAAATTGAAATCAGAAGGACCTAAATCTTAAACTTGAGGCTGTTTTTACTTACATGAAGGTCAAATTATGAGATATGTGACATTTCTAGTATAGCATTATAATATTCTTAGGAAACATAATAAGAGTTTAACATTGGGATAATGAAATTAAACCACATCTTTAGTCCCTAGATTAAAAACAAAATATAGCAGCAATCTCAAAAACATAGAGATAATAAATCATCCTTTCTTTGAAACTCTCATTCCTAAACTCTAGTTCCTTCCTAAACTCTTATTTTCTTTTCTCTAGTTCCTCTCTAAACCTACACATCCCACCATACAAAACCACTAGCATTAAACCTACAATAGCCATCACGGCCAATAGATAGATAGCAGCCAACTAACTTTCCAGCCTCTAATATATCCACAAACTAACTTTCCTCCCCAACTCAACTAACTTTCCTCACTGCTAGTAGAAGCTTTCCAGCCTCTGATATATCCACAAACTAGGAATAGCGAACAACCAACACAAATATTAGAGAGCAGCAAAATTGGGAGCAGATCCAAACGTGAGACCAAAATAGAGATAATGTGGAGATCAAAGATGAGGCCAGCTCAATTAACCAGATCTCTTGCAGTATCAAGTCAGACCAAAAGAGTTTGCATTAAAGAATACTAGTGGCAAGAATCCCAATAGCAAGAATCCTTAACCAACTTAACTAACTTTCCTCACTGCTAATAGAAGCTTACTAGCCTCCGATATATCCACAAACTAAGAATAGCGAACAACCAACACAAATATCTGGTTTCTACTCAATTAGAGCCAAGGTATAACACTGGATAAACCCAAAAGGAAAGAGCCAACAAATACCTAACAGAAATACAATTTAATACAACCAAATCATTTTACAAAATTGGAAAACAAGGTTGAAATGACACAAAAACTGATTTCTAAACACTTCTTGAACAAAGAACCAAACAAAATTAGCACACACGCGAGCGCACCAAAAAAGAGAACTTGGGTAATAGCCCCAATAGGCTAGTTGGCACTTTCACTTTCCTATAGAATAGAGAAATGCTCCAAACAAGGAATGAAACCAGAATTCATAATATAGGCCCCTTTTTTTTCTTTCAAAAATCAAAGGAAAATAGAAAATAGATCCAATAACTTGACAAAATTTGAGAATTTAGAAGTAGCAACCCCATACCTAGTCGACCATGGCGGTACTTTATTTAGGTCGAGAACAGCGATGAGATCCTCCCTATGTGACGATCACGGTCGACTTATTGCTATGATACGAAATAAGATTTATCATAAAGGTGAAGAAGAATTCCTTCCTAAACTCTACTAGTCTCCTTCCTAAACTCTTATTTTCTTTTCTCTAGTTCCTCTCTAAACCCACACATCCCACCATACAAACCCACTAGCATTAAACCTACAATAGCCATCACGGCCAATAGATAGATAGTAGCCAACTGAGTACATAGCCCAATAATATTTTGTTCACCTAAATCTGCTAGAAATCCTGTTCAAGGCAGTTTCAAAAATGTTGTCCTACATTGACATGACAAAGTAGAAAAGGCAGCTTAGCCCAATGAAGATTTTCATTAGTGTCCATTTCAATGTGGATGCATGCTCTACTCTAATTACCTTTTACTATGCTGTGAAGCTTAGAGTCACTTAAAAAATGAACTAAAGAGTGATGAAAATTCAAATGCTAAACAGATGATCTTATAGATTCATTGCAAGAGAGAGTTTTTGCTACAATAAGAACAAAAGGAAAATTATTCACTATATTACAAGAAAGAAAGAGAATTGTTGAAGAACTCATTTAACCATTTAGGTGTAGTTGTTACCAATCAAGCTAGCATTTTTTATTTATGGTCATCATTCAACTTTTTCTTGCATCTCAACCAACCATTTTAGCCTATTCCTCCAACTTATTTTCAATTTATATTAACTTAATCAACCAGCAACAAGAAGAACAATACATCAACAAATAAGGCAAACTAGCCAACTGAAGAGCATCATAGCAGCAGCTTGTTTTAACAAATATATTAAGTGAAGTGTTTTTAGTGATCTGAAAATTAAATTCTGAAAAGTATACTTACAGAGCAAGCTGTCAATAAAATTCCTCTGATGAACAATCATCTTCATCAACCTGCATGTCTGCCTTATCCTTGTGCATCCTCATAAACTTTTCAATCTCTTCAAACCTTTTGTTTTGCATTTCAATCTTTCTAGCTTGCTCTTGTGTTACCAAGTTCTGGGCTGCAATTTGTTCTTGCTGGACCTCAGCCAAATTCTTCAATGACTCTATTTGTTCTTGTAGGCTCGAAACCACATCAACATGTGCTTGTGTACTAACAGAAGATTTGGATGAGGATGGGTTTCGACTAACTCCGAAGCCCTTTATGTATCCTGATTTACTTGTTCCAAGAACTTCAATTGACAGCTGCTCCTGAGTTAAAGGTATTGCCCCAGGCTTCAAAGACTCTTCACGTCGTTTTTTCAAAGCTTCCTCTCAATTTTTAAACAACTTTAACAAATATAACCAATTACATAAATATGTAATTATATTGATTGGCATACTTACATGTAATTCACCACCTATTGGAGCTATCCAATCTGCCTTTCTCTTGCTCCAATGGGAATCTTTGTAGAAGTCTACAATGTCAACCTTCGCAGTACCCTAATTCCATCAATTTAAAAGTAAGTATACATAATTAATTTTAACTCAATCACACTTTCAAATATATTAAATGCATCACCTCTTTATACATTGCAGCTTGAAATGACTTAGAGCCCATTGTATGATTATATGGTAATTTCGATCGACTATTCCTTCCTTTTTCAGCCAATTCCTACAAAAGTAAATGATTAGTAAAATTAAATTGAAATTGAAACACGCTTCTTTAAGTTATGAAATTTTACCTGATGATCGCTATTAAGCCATACATGATTAATCATGTATACCCAAGCCTCATGGTCAACCCCTTTGTATGGCTTAGTGTAAGGGTCAACACCAGCTTCTACCAACTTTGAGTAATGCGTCTTCATCTTGTTACGCCAACTTTTGTAAAGGGTTTTACACTTCTTGTCGATTGCTTTCCGAACCTCTTTATCCTCATCATAATCAACAATCTCAAATTTATCCTGCAAATATATGAATAGTTTTATTAATATTAAAATGTAAGTGAAGGTGATAATCTAACTATTTTTAAAACAACAAATACAAGTACCCGAACTGCCTGAATGATTGGGGCTTTATGAATCTTGTCAATCTTATCCCACTTACTCATGCCAATTATAGGTGCAGCCATCCTTATTTGCAACCCAACTTCATTTGCAAATGGAGTGGCATAAGGCCCTACTGGTACCTTGGCATCTGCAGGGACCCAAACAGGAAGTTTTTTGCCACCATTTTTAGCTATGAGATGCGCTATGCTCTTCCCTCGAGTCTGACCCCTTCCCTGTGTAGAACGGGTACGCAAAGTAAGTGTAGATGGTGCAGCCTGGGTAGTACCTTCATTTGTAGATGGTGCAGCCTATGTAGTAGTTGCATTTGTAGATGTTACAGCCTGAGTAGTAGTTGCCTTTGTAGATGGTGCAGCCTGGATACGTCGAGCATTTGTAGATGGTACACTTTGAGCAGATGGAGTTAAGTTTGCTGGTGCATGTTCAATAGGGGCAGCAACTCTAGCTGGAGCTTGCTGAGTAGGTAAACCAACTTTAGATGATGCTGCGCTTCTAACTTTACCAGGGCCTGCCATCTACCACAACAACTCAACAATTACATGTGTGAAGCATATGTAAAATAAGCATTTACATTAATATCAATGGATGTATAATAGAACCAATATCAGCACATAAGTGATAACTAAACAATAACATGGCATAAGAAACAAAGAAAAATGGAGAAAGAGAAAGAGAAAGGGACACACACAAACATAGATACATTGAAACATATTCTTGGATAATCATTGTGCTCAAACTCAGACAAGAACGGAGCCTAAACAACAGTGTCATACAAAACATAAAAATTTAAAGTTCCATGTCAAAATCTATATTACAATCATAATGGCTATATAGCTCATCTTCTCGGATAGTGACAATGCTCTTAGTAATTATCTTCGTTATCGCATGTCTCTTCATCATCAACACCATCGTCATGTGATCGACTAACGGATTCTAAAACCACCTCACTTGGGATAATCTGAGGATCAATGTCATTCCTATGAAGTAAGATTGTGACGGGGTCTGCAATGCTAATTGGGACAACATCAGTTGTTTCATTTTGTTGGAATACATTATCAGGTTCAACGTCATCCTGTTCTGGTACATCCCACATTCCTCGATGTTGTAGCCTTTCTACGACTTTCCAATGTCCACCTAACTTTGTATCATCAACGTAGAAAACTTGCTTCACATGACTTGGTAAGACAAATGGATCATCTTTATACCATCGACTTTTGACATCAATACTTGTGAAATGTGCATTAGTGTGTAATGTTCTGTTGCTACCGGTGTTGAACCATTCGCATTGGAATAAAACAACTCGATGTCCAAGTATATAATGCATCTCCCACACTCTGTTCAAGTACCCATTAAAGTCAATTGTTTGTCCCTCATGCTCCCCTTTCACAACCAACCCACTATTTTGGCTTTTACGACGATTGTCACGATCTTTACTATGAAATCGAACACCATTGGAAATGCAAGCTGAATACAAATTAACTATGCTACTAGGACCATTTGCTAATGACCACAATTCATCAGTTGCTTCTGGTAATCCTTGAGCTCGTAAATGGTTCATCTACATAATGACATATCAATTTCAATCATTATGTTAGTGTTAATGTAAGTATAACTCAATAAAGTTTAGGCTTATATCTTACATGTTCTTTGAACCACTTGGGAAATTCCTCTTTCTGTCTCTTCGTGATGTCACATGCACCTTGATTTTCTAAAAGGTTTTTGTGTTGCCTATTTACAAACATATGATTGATAAGTAACATATTATATTGAAAACATAATTGCACCCAAAAAAAAAAAAAAAAAACGTACTCTAGATAATGGTCCAACTCAAGGCTATTATTCAAGACAAACCAATGAGCCATTTCACGTTCTTTTGGAGACACATCAGAAGCCCTTGTCATTAGCCCAAAAGGACGAACATCTTGTGTGAAGACCTCTAACCCAGACTCATGCACACGAACATCGACATTTCGTTCCTCTCGATTAAATACAGTTTCGACCCCACCCAGATACATTGAGCAAAATGTGAGGCACTCCTTGACAATATAAGCTTCTACGATCGAACCTTCTGGACGGGCTCGATTTGCAACATACCCTTTTAGAGTTCCAAGTAGCCTATGAAACAAACAATAGAATACTTTTATTACACATACTCACATTTTCATAAATATATATACAGTTTGTCCTACAATTTAACTATTCTAATATATGAAGAAGCTAGTAAGTACCTTTCAATGGGGTACATCCACCGATATTGCACAGGCCCACCAAGAATGGCTTCATGGGGCAAATGAATGGCTAAATGGACCATCACATCAAAGAACGCCGGTGGGAAAATTTTCTCCAGCTTGCATAATATGAGTACTATGCGATCCTCTAATTTTTCCAAATCCTTCACATTCAATGTCTTCGAGCAAAGCTGTTGAAAGAAATTTCCCAACTCAAATAATGTGACACATATATCATTGTGAAGATATCCACGCATTCCAATGGGAAGCAGTCGCTGTAGAAGGATATGACAATCATGACTTTTTAGGCATGTTAACTTATCACCTTTTGTGCTTGCACACTTTGAGATGTTTGCCGCATAACCATCAGGATACTTAATTGACTTCAAAAACTCACAGAAACCATGTCTTTCATTTGAGGACAAAGTGTACAATGCTGGGGGCTTTTCAAATGATCCATCGGCACGCCTCTTTAGGTGTAACCCCTTCCTTATTTTCATATCTTCCAAATCCATGCGCGCTTTTTCTGTGTCTTTGTTCTTTCCATCTATACTCAATAATGTTCCAAGCAAACTATCACATATATTCTTCTCTATGTGCATAACATCGAGATTGTGTTGGAGTTTAATTGTTTTCCAATATGGCAACTCAAAGAATATGCTTTTTTTAGTCCAATTCAATATCGAATTTCCCCTTTTTCTTTTCTTATTGGTTGGATGCTTTCCAAATGGTCTGTATGTCCCTGAGTCCAATTGTTCTAAGATTTGTTCCCCTAATAACTCCAAAGGTCTTGACACAAACTCAATCTTACCGTTATAAAGTCGACTCCTACGCCAAGGGTGGTCATCAGGCAAGTAACGACAAGCGCCTGTGTACCCTATCTTACCTCTCAATCGTTGTGAGGATGCATTCTTGTTACATGTGGGACAAGCCAAATAACCTTTCATGCTCCATCCAGACAAGTTTCCATATGTAGGAATGTCATTAATTGTCCAAATAACAGCTGCATGCATTCAACAAGTTAATTCAGTTGAGGTATCATACGTAAGCACATCATCTTCCCATAACTCTTTCAGCTCATCAATTAATGGTTGCATGTAAACATCGATATCTCTACCTGGTGCTTGTGGTCCAGGGATAAGCAATGACAACATACTAAATGATTGTTTCATACATTTCCAAGGAGGCAAGTTGTAAGGCACAATAATCACAGGCCACATACTGTACGAGTTGCTCATGTTACCAAAAGGATTAAAACCATCAGTAGCCAACCCTAACCTCACATTTCGAGCCTCTTGGGAAAACATAGGATGTTGCCTATCAAAATCCTTCCACGCCTCACCATCAGCCGGGTGTCTCAATATCCCATCATCTACTCGCTTTTCTTTGTGCCATCTCATATCTACAGCTGTTTTTCTTGACATATATAATCTTTGCAGCCTCGGTGTCAACGGGAAGTATCTTAAGATCTTATGAGGAATTTTCTTACCTTTTCCATCATTCAACTTGTATCTGGACTCTTGACAAATCGGACAGTTTTCCAAATTTGCATTCTTCTTCCAGAAAAGTGCACAATCATACTTACATGCATGAATCGTCACATATCCTAAGCCTAAGTCACGCAAGAATTTTTTGGCTTCATAAAGGGTCCATGGGATCACTTGATCACTTACCGGTAGAAGGTCCTTTAATATCCCCAACAACATGTTGAATGACTTATTGCTCCACTTATTCAACACCTTCACATGAAGCATCTTAACAACAAATGATAAAACAGAAAACTTACGACACCCAGGGTACAACTCTGTTTGAGCATCATTCAATAATTTATCGAAGTTGCGCACATCCACTCCTTCAACATTGTTAGCCACATCATCGTCATCGTCTTCTTCATCCCCTTCATTTTCATTATCATTCATGATAGTCCCCATGTAAACATCTTCTAACAAATTTAGGAATTCATCTTGATCTCTGTCTATATCTTCTTCCATTCTGTCCCCAACACTTCCAAAGTCATTGTGGTCGTCATTATTCAATGCATGAGATTCATTCATGGGAACAGATTCCCTGTGATGCACCCAAGTCTTATAAGAAGGGGACATTCCTTTCACGACCAAATGATACTCCACAATTTTACTAGTGTGTTGTTCACAATTCAAACAGTCCATACAAGGGCAACGAATCTTACCATTTGGCCCTACATTTAACATTGTGAACTGAACAAAAGCCTTTACGCCATCTCGATACTGGGAACTCATTCTATTCTTAAGTGACATCCAACTCTTGTCCATATTTGGTCACCTACAAAGCCAATGTTATGTGAAATTCCTTTATCACTATGTACACTAATATTCAATAGGTAAGTGGTCCTATGTCATTTAACTAAATTTAAAAAAAAAAAAGAAGAAAAAAAAAGGAAATGCAATGTAGAGTAAAGGGTGAAAAAGAATCATATAGTAAGTGATGACATAGATATATACCTTTAACTAAATTAGGTATGTGTAATTTATTGACAAGTTGTACTAACAATAATAATTGATAAACAAGAATTACTATTCAAGTAAAGCATGCAATGTAGAGTAAAGAGTGAAAAAGAATTATATAGTAAGTGATGACAGAGATACATAAATTATAATTGCTATATAAATTATGGTCTTCAAATTGTTACATATTAGTTTAGTTGTTTTTGTAAAAGCATATTCATTTATTTTAGCAATTTGAGTTATTTATTTGTTGAGTTAGACATGGAATTGAGATTTTTGTAGCAAAACACAACAACCACCCCCTAATTAGCATATTTGGGCTTATCTTATTTATATATCAAATAGTTCCTTGGATCATCTAATTGTTTGTTATATCATGAATGCTCACAATAGTAAAACGAAACTAAGAATACAATAAGTGAATCCTAAGAATACAATTAAGTGAATCCTCTAATACCCACAAATTTAATAAAAAAGTGTCAAACTTCTCTAAATAAATTTAAAATGCCTTAACAAATAGTCAAAGATTACCTGATGTAGTAATTGCCCCCAACGAACGAGTGCAGCTTTTTTATCTCTCTGCATTAACCGATAACCTATAATAATTGATAATTGTAAATCAAATTTTAAATTAAAATCGCACTATACATGAAATTAATGAAGAGATATGGGCATGAAATGAATGTCAAATAACGTATAAGGACACTCATGGATATGCGCAAAATAAACAATTCACCTACACACCTAAATAAATTATTGTACTTCTTAAAAGGAGATATCATCCGTAAAAATATGAAAAGTGAGGTTCAATTAACATGTCCCAAAACACATCAATGCTTTTTGGTCAAACACAAGGAAAAGAAGATGGTGGATGCACTTATTCCACTTCAATGCTTTTTGGTCAAACACAAGGAAAAGAAGATGGTTTTCAACAAAAGAAGATGTATATTATTTATAGTATGTGTTCTTATAAAAATACAAAATTATTTTAATGAAACAATAACTTAATAAATCAATAATTGTAATAGCTTCATTGTATATTATCTACGAACACTGTCAGGTTTGAGATAGTGGTGTTCTACAGTGGGGTGTGAAATCTTTGTCTTGAACAAAATAAAACGGTATGAATGTTTGTGTCGGTTCGACCAATTTAAAAAGTGTGTTTTTGGTAGTAATATCAGCAAGGCTAGATTACATCATTAGTCTTTCTATTTTTTATTCTTATAATTTTAATTTAATTTTTACACTTTTAATTATATTATAATGTAGCCCATCTGACTGTGTTATCATATTTTGAATTAAAAAAATCATGTACAAAATTACAAAGATTAGAATGAAATTCAAAATAAATTATAGAAAAATTATATCATTAATTCTATAGTTTAAATGAAATATTATTCTAATTTTTATAATTTTAAGGAAAATTAAAGTGCTGTTTCACTTAAATTACAGGAGTAATAGTATCATTTGCCAACTAGCAACTTGTACTTGTACCCCAATTCACCCCTCATTCATGGGGAGCCTACCAAGCCATGTCGCTTCGGGTCAGCAAAGGGCTATTTAGTGTGACTCACTTAAACCCATCAACATGATTTGCACTTTTCATTATGTAATAAATTTTTAATATATAAGGATGGTTTAGAATAATCTAAATAAGTATATTTTTTATTTTTTTATAAAAAGATATGTAGAAATGTAAAGAGGTGATACGACTCAAAAACAATAAAATGATAAAAAAGTGTGTTACAATAGGTCATGCCAAACAAATTCATAATTTATAAACATAATTAAGTTGATAAGATGTATTGATAGTTATAAAATAATTAGGTTGATAAGATATATTGATAGTTATACGATTAGAGATCACATTTATATTAAAAACAAAGTGATTTTGAAAAATAATTCATTTTGAAAATAAAATAAAATTTTATTCAATCATCATGTGGTAATCAATGTTCAATCAATTTGATTTTTACATAAATAATATGCTTGACAAATAATAGAAAACGAACAATTTAGATAATCTTAATAGGTTTGGAGTCAGACCTAGTAAGAGTCATAGCAACCCCTGTTCTGTACAAAACACAACGGACACCCGATTTCTCATTCAACGGCATGAGATTATGAGTCTCTAAAAAAGTGTTTCTCCAATCATCTCTTCTTATCCATGTTAGTGACCAAAGGCACTTTTTACTCCCAGAAGGGTATTTATATCTCCCACTATATACAGTATTAAAATATCAGACAGTGGAAAAACATCTTCCCTCTCAATGCTCTATATTCTCAAACTGAGAAACATTCAACAAAGTCATTCATTTTGGCCTCATTTTGTGATATGTTGCTACTGGTCACACAATCAAAACATGTATTCAATGTGTGAATATGCATGCATGTGTACATGTTTGTCAATAATAATGAAGTGATTAGTTAGTGAACTTTCTGGGAAAATAAATCCTCAAATATGCATTTTAACTGGTTGCAAATAAAGCCTACTTTCTGGTTGCTCAATGGGGACATTCTCTTACTCTCTATCATATAACCCAATTGAAAGCCTAGGTGAGGGAAAGGGACTACATTCAAAATATTAGAGACAGAGAAGAGAACAGAGCAGAGACCCAAAAAGAGGGTCGCGATCTGCTGCTGATCTGCTGCCGATCTGCTGCTGCCCAGCGCTGCTATGCCGTTGGCATTCGGCTGCGCGAGAAAGCAAGAGGGAGAGGGAGAGGGACTACATTCAGAATATTAGAGATAGAGAAGAGAACAGAGCAGCGATCCAAAAAGGGTCGCGATCTGCTGCCGCCGAGCACTGTTGTGCCTTTCCCATTCAGCGGCGCAAGAGAGTAAGAGGGAGAAGGAGATGGAGAAGGAGAGGGAGAATGAGAGGGAGAGAAGAAGAAGAGAAGAAGAAGAGAAGAAGAACATACCTGAGAAGTGCTGCCGCCGAGCACTGCTGTGTCGTTCTGTGCTGTGTGCCGTTTCAGATGGATGAGAAAATGAGAAGAAGTTAGGTCAATTGGTTGTTTATTCACTTGTCAACATTTTTTGGCAATAAAAAAATTGGTAAAAAAAAATACAAATTAATTTGTCTTTAATAATTTGGTAAAAAATAAAAAACTTTGTTTATTGATATAATTGTCTTTATAGAAATTATGTGTCTTTAATAATTGTATTATTTGTCTTTAAAAAATACAAATTATTTCTATAAATTATTTGTCTTTATAGAAATAATTGTCAAATTAATTATTTCTATATTTTTACAAATTTCTATACATATTATTTCTATATTTTTATAGACAAATTAATAGATTGGTCCAAATTAATAAATTAATATTTGTATGGAAATATAGAAATAATTGTATAGAAATTATTGTAACAATTAATATTTGTATAGAAAACATATTAATATTTGTCTTTATAGAAATAATTAATATTTGTATTGTAACAATTAATATTTGTATAGAAATTATTAATTTGCTACAAATTTCTATACAATTATTACTATAAATTATTTTTATCAACAAATATTTGTA